CACACACTCACTCTCTCTCCCCCTCACACACTCACTCTCTCTCCCCCTCACACAACACACACACACACACAGACACAGACACACACACTGTCTCTCTCTCCCTTTTTCTCGACCCCACGCACACTCTTACCCCCACACAGACACTCTCTTTTGCTCTCTCACACACACTCTCTCTCCCACAGACACAAACACACATACATACTCTTTCCCCCCCTTTCTCACACAGACACACACACACATACACCCCTCTCTCTCACACGTTCTCTTTCTCTCACACACACTCTCTCCCTCCCTCTCTCACACAACACACACACACACACACACACACATACTCTCTCTTGCTCTCTTGCACAATGTACACACATGGTCTCTCTCTCCCTTTCTCTCTCACACACGCACACTCTCTCGTGCTCTCTCTCACGCATATTCTTTCTCTCACCCCCACACACACACTCGTTCTCTCTCACACACCCACACATACACGCACACACTCTCTCACTCTCAAACATACTCTCTCGCCCACCCCACATACACCACTCTCTCTCACACAGACACAACACACACACACTCTCTCCCCCCTCACTTTCTCACACGGACACACACACACTCTCTCTCCCCTACGCACAAACACTCTCTCTCCCCTACATACACATTCTCTCTCTCTCTCCCCTACACACACACACTTTGTCTCTCTCCCCAACACACACACACTCTCTCTCTCCCCTACACACACACTCCTTCTTTCCCACCCACAGACACACACACACACTCTGCCTTGTCTCTCACACACACACACTCTCTCTCCCCTACACACACGCACAGTCTCTCCTCCCACACACACAGGCATGCTCTCCCCAACCCCCACACACACACTCTCTCTGTGCCCCCCCTCACACACACTCTCTCTGCCCACCACACACACACTCTCTCTCCCCACCCCCCACCCACAGACAGACCCCCCCCCCCCCCCTGCCCTGTCTCTCTCACGCGCACACACTCTCACACACACATGCCGTGCACACATACCCTCACTTCTTCCTGCTCTCTCACAAAACACACAGACACATACACACACACTCTCTCCCTTTCTGTCTCTTGGACACGCACACTATCTCTCACTCTCAAACATACTCTCTCTCAACCCCACACACACACTCTCTCTCTCTTCCACAGACGCAAACCCACACACACTCTCTTTCCCCTCTAACTTTCTTACACACACACATACGCCCCATCCCTCTCTCTCACACATACACACTCACTCACCCATTCTCTCACTCACACACATGCACGCGCGCGTTAGCACACACACCCTTCCTCTCCCACACACACACCGTCTCTCTATCTAAAAATAAACACACTCTCTCCCTCTCTCACACATTCACACACTCTCTTCCCCCCCC